CGTGGGGCAACGTGGCATTTCGAAGAATTTAATGCGAGTTTCTTGAAATTTTATCATACATTTTACTAGTAATTATACTTAGTATACATCTTATTAGTAAAATGTATGGTAAAAATTTCAAAAACTCTCATAAAAAAATCTTCAAAATCACGATCACATGATGCTCAGGATAAGAGAAAATTTTATCCATGTAGATTATGTTAATTATGTCTTTCATTTGGTACAAATATTTTCAAAGTTTGTCTCTCTCTCTCTCTCTCTCTCCTCCCCTTTCACTACTATGTCATTTGTGATATATTTACTTAAACGTGGGTAACATTGCGAAGATCAAATACGAGACACTATGTAATATTCAAGAAGTTTTGTAATTTAAAACGGGAACGATCTCACATAATAGCTCCACATACGATCGTTTCAATTCTCCGAGAAATTTTATTCTCGCAGTCAAGTGAATTTAAGGAAGAGTACTTTTCACTGTTGGGAATTCTGGCTTATTACGCAACTTAACTTTTAATTAATATCGGTTTTCTTGTTATTTTATAGATCCATTTATCTTTAATGAAAATAGAATCATGAAATTCAGCTATTATATATTTCTTTTAATCCGATTATTTCTGATATTGAGAAATGCAATTTCTGAATATCTTTTTTTAATTAGTGATTTCGCGATTCCTTTTCAATGTAACATTTCTCATCTATCTGTAATTTTTCGATTGTGTTGCTAATAAATGAAATGGTAAATGATTCAAACAACAATTAATCGTGTTACATGTCATTAATGTCTATAAATCATGTGATATATATAATGGCAAAAATTTCGTGCCATTTATTCGTATATGTGTATGAAACAATTAGATCGCTCAAGTTTTGTTTTGACATTGATGAAAATATTATATTATTAATTAACCTTACTATTCATTATTTGCTTGATCACTTTCTGCTTGTCACGGCTCATAACAGTTTTACTCTTAATTCAAAATTAATCTTTCAATATGTAATTTACCAAAACGTCAGACATGAAAATTAGATTGAAGATTTTACGTAAGAAAAAAAAACAGCAAGTTACGTGGCAGTGTGAAGATTGAAATTATATTGGGCGACATAGAAATTGAGATTGATGATGCTGGGAATATATTATTTTCAGAAATTTGAGAGTCGTTCAGAAGTGATGAAGGCGCAAGAAAAACATTTTGTTAATCTGTCAACTAAAGAAATACACACATAGAGCAAACTTTGCAAGTTATGCCTGTTTTCGTGGAAGGGGACGCGAGAGACGAAAGAAAAATTTGAATACGATGATAGATGTATCAAGCTTTTCTTGTTGTTTGTGAATGTAAATTGAACGCTTTTCCCTTTACGAAGCGAGGACTCACTTTTACGTTTTCTATACCCTGTGAGACTTCATATCGTATTTTCTTTTCCGAATGGAAATAGTAAAACGAAACAAAACCGTGCGTAATGTGTTTACACAGAACCACAAGAGAAAGGTTTGCGATTGCAAATATTTACCATGAATGTGTCATCGAACCAGAAATTCTGGCGCTCTGTACGCTGATTTCTCTAAGAATTTAATCTCTTAAAATCCTTTATACAATTGCAATATATTTTTCTATAATTTTTTCTTTATACGTTATTTTCTGTGTCTATTAACACAGAATACGCTATTGTTTGTATAACAGTATTACGCTCTGGCAGTTTCGGCATTCAAGAATAATCACAATATTCGTAGATTATTCAATAAACGGAGGAGACAAAGATTTAATTCACCTAAACAAATTATATACGATGTAATTAATTAGAAATAATTTCGACCTTGATACACGAAATAGCGCAAGACTGCGAAATTTATCGAATACTTGTCGAAATTGATACGAGTGCGATCGACAAACGTTACATGGCCTGACGAGAATCTCGTTGTAACATCGCCATTGGCAATGCACAGTATAGTAAAGTGCAATCTGCGATTCGATGCGATGCGATGCACGCCAATCACTTTAATGGACAATCGAATACAACACGTCGTTTGTTGATCTGCGCTTTTATGCCTATCAGGAACCAACCGGGGAAAAGCAATGGTTTTGTTTTGTGCACGATGCTTATTATTTGTGCGCCTTTAAAATGTATAACACACGTTAAGCGACGTTCAATTACCATAGCAGACGCGCGCAATGTTAATCGCTCGATTGAAATTGCAAGAGTGGCGTAGTAAGCTGCAATTGAATGTTAGCTGCGAATCAGTGATGCAGCCTGTATCGCGTAGCAACGATACCCGTGATCAACAAAGAGCTCATCAATGTTTTCGTTGCGCCCCCGTAAACAGTCCGATAGAACGTACTGAAAGAACACCGACGCCAAGTGCGATCTGTCTCGTTTCTCCTCGTCGAAAAGTTTTACTTTTTTTTTTCTACGAATTTGCATTAGTTCTCGATTTAATTTCTATCGTGGAAAATTTTTTACTTCTACAAGAGAAAATATACTTCCGGAAATTGGCAGGGATTTTCTTTCGCATGGAAAAATCAAAAAGCTTGGAGTAACACAAATAATGAAAATGCGAATATTTTTTCCAGAGAGTATAAAAATTATGTCAATGTTAGCGAACCAACGGGTAGAGCTCGTAAATTTCGCCTTTAATTTTGGATTATTACGTTTGCAATTCCCGTTATCAATGAACATCGTTCATGCTCGTGAGCAGTTTCCACGTTCCAATTTCGATGCATGCTCGTATTTGGATTGAATTATTGGTCATATAACGACCACTTTCGATCGGCGTCACAGAGCGTTTGATTGCTTTGAGACGAATCAGGCGAATAATATGCAACTGTATTATTTGATTTGGTCCCGCTAAGTGGTAAGAAAATCTCTAAATCGGACAAAGTCGATCGCTATCTATAACCGTGCCGGGAAATTGCGGTATGTTCGTCGAGCGTATCTCTGTGAATTAACGATGCAACTGGTAGTATCTGACGCAGTACGTGATCAACGAGAAGAGCTTTCTATCGGCGTTCGCCCGATGTTATCGATCTACCGCGAGAAAAAAATGCCGTACGTGCATGAACAACTGTGCGAACCGATTCGTGAAATTGGACGGAATTTTTTAACATATAGACCAAAACGTATTGTCACATTTGTCGAAATTACACTCAAGTTTTGTATTTTCTACCTGAAAACGGGATGTAATTGCAAAAAGGGAAATACAATTGGCATTTGAGTGCCTGTTGTGTGATGTAGCAAAATTGTTCTAACAAACGTATTTAATTGAAAAAGCAGTAGGACGTTTGATTTACTTAATTCTCGCGCGATTTATTTACGTTTACTTAATCACTCGAATTGATCCGACTACGTTGGGGTAAAATCAATAAGCTTAATTTTAATTAAAAACAATCGCGTTATTAATTATCTACCAATTACCTAACCTTGCTGCTTTCAGAATAAAAATCAACGGCCGCAATTGTTGCACGCACATAATATGGTATGTACAGGTGATCTTGCGTCTTATTTATTCGCTGCCGTAACGTTCGATCTTACTTTAGTCGAGACGAATCTTTTCCGTAACGAAGTGTCTTTCGAGTGATCCTCTTTGATGAAACTTTATTCATTTCGGTCCCTGTAATCTGACTTAATTAAACTTCCACTTCTCGCCCCGCTATCCCGCCTTTAAGGCGGATTAGCCGAACGTACCATCTTAAGTCCATACTGGATCTGGATCTGGATCGAGCAAAAAGTTCTCGCCCGGTAGATTCACCGTATTGCGCAACGACATAGTTCTTTTCTATGGCGAAGCAAATTGCCAATAGCACGATGGATAAAAACAGAATAAGACGCCTCGGGAATACATTTGCGTTTTGTGCACATGAAAATTCCATTCGTTTTTATACGACTCGATGAAAGCGCGCGTAAAAGTAGCTCCGATCAAGTGACATGTCACGTAAAATTCTTTCTTTTTTATCATTCTGGCTTGTCGGTTTTGTTCGGATAATTGTTCGCGTAACATCACTTACTTTCGCAATTACCTAAATATCATTTGCAGAAATTATTTCAACGTTTTATAAAATTTCATTCTCTGCAAGTTATTTTTTTGCATTCAATGTTGCAAGTTCTACACAAAAACTAAATCACACTGAGTTCGCGCATCTGATAAAGATGCAAGTTTTTTGTTTCAATTCGTGAGTAATGATCGTTTTAACGTTAGGAATTTACAATTCTTCGACTGTGAGAGGCGGAGAATTATTATTCATGTAAAAAGAACTACGGAACTACATGAAAAATTGGAGACTTTCTACTTTTGCATTTCGTTCACGTTCTTAATCAGACAAACCTCCCAAGTGTCGCAACACCGAAACTTGATACGAAGCGAGTTCGTGCTGGGCGTCCAAGAAAAAAAGAAACCGGCGAAAGCGTTAAATCAGCTGGCGCTGTACACGTTTATCCTACACGCCTGTGTACACATGGCCAGTTAACTTGGCTGGTGCCTAAATATAAAGGATATACGAGCCTCTTATTCTGAAGGTGGCGTAAATGAAATTTCGAAGAACAATGAATTTTTGTAAGATATGCGTCCGACTTGACGGGATGTCCGTATATTAATAAGCTCTTCCCAAAAGAATTGTGCTATTTTTAAACGTATTAATAACTTAAAATTGAATCCATTAAAGACAATAATAAGATGAAAATGAACAAGTACAGGTATTCCAGAAATTGTTATCAAAATGTCGATCGACTTTCTCTTTACAAATTGCAGAATGATGTAGATTTTCCAAGTTTTCGAAATTAAATTCATATTCTCTTGACGGATATACGATATAGTTGACGTCTTGTAATTACGTCGTTGCGAAAAAACGTTTTTTTTACCTTTCGATATTTAACAAGTTTGTTCTAAATCTAACATGTGTATTATCAACACCTGTTTTACACTCCTGCTGAGACTCAATATCGCTGAAAGAAAGCACGATTATCTCGTGACAATATTTCCGCTGGAATACCCGCGGGTGTTTCTTACTCACCGAGCACGAGTAGCAGCAGAACTTGTTGCGGGAGCCGAGCCACCATTGTGGGCCCGTTCGCTCGCACATCTATGAATTTAAATCGAGCGATCCTGCCGTGATTTTCCTTGCCCCTCGATTTTCCCGTCGCGATCGCCAACGTCCGCCGTAACAACATTCATTTAACGTTCTGCCGGGCTTCCACGTGGGCGTACGCGCCGCTCTGCCGGGTTTCGTCCGCTCACGCACGGAGCCTCTCCGCTTCCTCCGGCTGCACCCTCGACGCTTCCGGTACCACTGTCGGCTCACTCGCGCCGGACCCGGGAGAGTTTCGGCACTCGAAGAACAGCCACTTTCCGTCGATCGAGCCGCACACACTCGCGCCCGATTAATTTCCCACGGCGACGCGATCTCTCTGAAATTCGTGGGAATTCACAGCGAGGTGGTTCGCGGCCGTATGCGATTGTGTGAAACGCCTCGGGCGCGCGTTTTCGAAATGACAGAATTTTTTTTCCCTCCCACTTTTCGACCGATCCGCATGCGATTTGGCCAGGTGGCCCGATATTAATCGACCCGCGGCACTGCCGCGCGCGGTGACTGCGATTGGGCCGCGCGCGCTCGAAGCGCCCGATATCTGTGCACATAAATATTTTAGAGATGCGTTTGCTAGAGGCAGCGGGGTGATGAAACGGACGGACGCGGGCGGGCGAGGTGCCGGGAGATAGAACTCGTGGAAAAAAAAATCATTTACAAGTGAAATACAACTTGACACTTGCCAGATAGTATCGGCGCGGTGAATGCAACGGGAACGCGGTCGTTCCCGGTCGCTGACAGAAGTTAGAACGGAGACGAAACGTAATACAAGGCCAGCTAAGGAGAACATGCGTATGTGTGTGTGCGAACCTGCGCAATTCCGCGTGTATTGTGCCTCTGCGTGAGTGTGTGCCCACACCGCACCGTCAATCGTCATGGATTTTCGCGACAATTGCATTCTGAAGAACTGAAGCGACGACGGTAAAATTGGAAAACCGATAAGAACTTCTCTCTTCTCGCAAGTTATTCTATTGCCGTCATCCACCCAGTTGCGAGAAATGTCTCTCGTGATTAACGATGTTCGCGATTTCGGAAAAGTATCTCGAGACGCGTAAAAATTTGCATACCATCGGCTCCTTTTCTTTTTCGATTTAGACACGGAAAAAAAGTGCCGTTGAATTAAAAAATCAAGTTGCTCGCATCAAACGTTAACGTCTCGCGGGCTGCCACGAACATAAATAATTCGCTCAGTTGTGTTTGCGATGGATTTTAATTTTAAGCAGCGAACTAAATACCTAGATTATTAAGACAATTATTAATCTGACGTTTATTTCAATTACACTGATCTTGTTGACACAACATCGTTTTTGTCCGCGCAGTAATGTAAATTTGTGACGATTACTGAAGCATCGCGTGGAAAATGTTTTATAATTTTTTAATCTTTTAATTCCTAACGTACATTTTATAACGACACTCACTCTGTTCCTTTATTATGTTAAATTTATATTTTTCCCTCTCTCTTTATGGCGCTCACCATTTGGAGAATCATGTGAACATGTGAACATGTCGATGACAGTACTGTATTTAGGCGTCGAGCATATTTGTCCCTGTAGGTCTCATTCTTATTATTCCTAATGCTAGTTAATCTAATAATCTTGATGTTAATAATACACCTAGACCGAATAATGGTGTCCAAGTGGGAGGGAAGGGAACGGGAATGCTTAAAAATCGCGTTTTGATAGTGCTGTGTACAACCGACAACCCGTATCGGTGCGCAGTTCACAAGTCGAAACTATACGCGTAGACAACATCTATACTGTTATTGCGACAAATATTATCATATGCCTCGGTGGTCGAATTGGTGAGACGCCCGCCTAGAGTGCAGGGAGGTCCAGGTCCAGGTTCAAACCCTGGCTGAGGTAATATTTCTCGCAATAAATTTTCTGTGTTAAAAACACATCGCCAATTGTGGTCGATTAGAATCTTGATCATTGCTAGTCAATCTAAGTTTTAAGTTTTATCTATTTTTTTTTATTTATTAATTTTACGTAACACCTTTTAGAATTCTTTGATCTTAGCCTCGCGGACGACCCGAAAATGAGTCGAAATGTTTGACGATTAATTTATAAGTTCAACAAAAAGTTCCGCATTGGACGTTTTTGCACGATTACCTGCGTCTGGCTCGCATTGGCCCCGCCACCAAATTTGTTTTATAGTTATTCTAATCCTGAATACCGTAGATCCAGGCATAATCTACGCTGGAAATACACGGATTAATATGATCTACTCGACGATAAGCTGTAAGAGTATGTTATGTCGTGCAACTAGTGGCGGGATAAACCTATATATAATATCCCGTATCCGTAATATTCTAGGTAAGCAAATAGTACAGTCGAGGCGTCGATTCGCGCGCGCACGTAGACGCAAGAGCCCGCGCTGTAATAACACGCGAGTTGTATAATCCGCGAATAGTGGAAACTCCGCGAATAATGATAATAACCTAGTTACTGTCGTAACTTACCGTGATAGAAAAAAGGGAAAGAAAAATTAAAAAAAGATGACGATCGTGCCGACGCAACTTGGTGAGTTAGAGGCGGTTTACTGGTTTAGCGAATTGCGAGGAAGCAACGCGGTATATCGCGTCGTTCGTAATTTCACCGGATTAAAATGCGAACATGCGTTTTACGTGAACAGCGCTATCCCTCGGGGGGATCCCCTACGTTCACGCCCTTTCAGTCTCGTCCTCTCCCTCGACGTAGCACCACTTTTTCTCCACAGAAGAGAATAAAAACGGTCGTTTAGCTCGCGCCGCAGCATCAACAGAGCGGATTGTAAAAATCGCGAGACATTCAGCGGCACGGCGGCGCCGTTTCGCACCACAAAGTATCACGAGTGCAAAGCTTCTCCCTTTCTCGCCGGGGCTTTATCTAATGCTGTTAGATCGATTACTTAAATCTTCTTTTTATCAAAGCCATTTCATCAAGAATTTTTGTATTCTTAATTATAGGAAAATTCTCCTATATTCCCGGCAATTTTCTACATGAAATTGTCCGACGATAAACGGGAAGGGCGAAATATTTTGTGACTCGTGTATATAACGTCAAGATAATTTCGAGAAAATATATCGCGCAACGTAGTTGTCAAGGTAAAATATAAAAAGAGAGCAGCTATGTACTGACACAAGTTCGCATTTATCAATTTTTTAACAGCATATAATAAAACTAAATTATCACAAAAGCTTTCATATTCATGGGAAATGCGGAATAAAAGTCACCAACCCGGCGTTTTCTAAATTTCGCGTTAGATCTTCATATTGCGAAGAATTCCGTGTCCCTGGTTCTGAGCTCGCCGTCCTTTTTTTCCTCCCGCGCGCAGCTGAATATGCATGATCGCGAAGAGCCATTTGGCAGAAACGAGTCCCGTCTACACGTTTCCGAATTTTATCGCAATGCCGTCGATCCGCGCGGTAATTCGACCAGTTCTCTATTCTTGGAATATCGCATGGGATCGCACTATAAATCACGGCCAAGGTGTCACGTGTGACATTTTCTAAAATTGTATCTAAAATCACACGCGATAATCCTTGCCACTTCCCATTATTCTGCTATTACTCATAACGTTTGTAATTGAGAGAATTTCGAGAATTCGAGAGATTAACGAATCAATACGAAGCAAATAGAAAAAAAAGAGTCTTTCTCTCGTGCAACTTTCAGTTGTGTTTGGTGTGTATTTTTAGAAGCAGCAGTATTTTTTTTCCAACGAAATATCCATCGACTCGTTCTTGCAGGTTTGCTATTTGTCCGTTGCTGTTTTCTAGCTTTTACTTGCGCTCGGAGGCAACAGCAGAAAAATAATCGGCGTGTTTTAAACAAATCTTGCAACGGGATTCGTTCAGTTTAGACGAAAAAGCAATGTCACGTCAAATGTAGCGCGCTGTTTTCATTGTTCTCTGCCGTTAAGCTTCCACTAATTTATTTATTCATGAAGGTTGGCTTCCCGCGAATGAATGTAGATACGCAGCAGTATTTATAATTGCTAATTTTATATATAAAATTTTTACATATCGCAAGCAGTGTCGGAATTTATTGTTTTGTATGAACTGCGAAAACGGACAAATTTACATATTCATGTGTAAAAAGAGCCAAGTATTAAAGAATTTGTCAGACAACTGACACGTAGCCATTTAATAAAACATGCGAGTATTATCATCGACAGAAATGAGATGTGTAGAGCGCGCCCTTTAATATCGCGATATCGCCATCGCCACGTCGAGGAACATTCATTGATTGATTGAATTAAACCGATACATAAATATTTTAGCTCGGAAAGGGCTCGACACGTGTCACGTTCGAAACATACGGCTTATTCAATTGAGAAAATTTCGAAGAACGAAGGTGGGGAATGATCAGCCGAACGAGTTTTCGTTGTCATACACGCGTGCCTAGAATACTTGACGTTTCCTTTCTACGCGCACGTATTCCCTTTCAGCGGCTGTCGTGTGTGACTCTTTTTGTTACGAACGCGGGGGGCGCAGCTTCTGTCGCGAGCGTTCCCCAAGAATAGCCGTGCATTCGTGTGCTTTCACTCCGTATCTCCAGCCGCGATCTGCATTCGGGCGCAGTATAATTTCCGAGGAATCTCGGGAGCTCTATAAACGCCAGACGCGGAGACGCCTTTATGCCGTCGTGCTTGCGCAAAATTTGTCGTCCCGGTAAGAAGGAACCTCCAATACGACGGGGACGCGTCGAGGACGCGTTTATTACGTTCCTTGGCACGTACGCCGATTCGACATTCAAGAGAAACTCGCAGTTACCGTTCCGGAAAATCCGCGGTTTTTCGGGACCCCGCCTTTCGCGCGGTGGCGAGAGCGAAATGTCATGTAAATGCTCTCGCCGCGGCTGTCAACGTGTCGCACCCCGAAGCTCATCCTCGGATTATCTTATCAAAGCTACGCAGACGTGCAGCGCGACAGCGGGCTGTTGAGGTCGCTTGGCGAGCTGCCGAGATTTTTCGCGGATATTTTTGTCGCGTGGACCGCCGAACTGCATCGGTCCAGATCACCGCCACCGCCGCCAGCAGCGTGCCTTCCTCGTACGCGACGCGTGCTCCAATAATTGCAACGCGATCCCCGCACGGATACATACGCGAGTATTGCCGGTTCGGACGAGAGATTCGCGTATTCCTGATTCTCGCCGTCCGCTACGAAAATGCTCGGGCACTGAGGACACGCGCGTTCACGCGGAGAAACTCGCACTTTTCACTGCCGCAGCACACGGGGCCATTACGCACGCACCCACGAATGCACGCACGCACGCACGTGCTTCTGTCTCGCGGGCGCGCGGAGTCAATCGTGGCGCGGAGTCAATCGCGCCGCCGCCGACCGAGTGAGCGAGTAGTACAAGAGTATCACCCCACGATCCGTCGCGCGCGGACTCCGACCGCCGACTGACTACTAGCCCGCGGTCTGGCCCCGGTGGCTGGTTTCTACTGTCTCGCTCGCGCGCTTCTTCTCGCGCCGCCCGCGTCGCACTCGTCGCTGATGCATTATCCTCCTGAGATCTGAGGCCGCACTCTTTTTCTTCTAGCGTGGAACTCTTATAAGAGCCGCCTCAAAGAACGCATTCACGATAATAATTGCTTTTTACCTCTTGCCGATTACACTGGAAATGTGCTAAAAGCACGACTCGAGGTATCGCAAAATAATCGCTTTCAAGACAATTAACTTTTCAATTTACATTTTTCTTTTCTATTTCACGATGTTGCTGCACGTTTACACGAGCAGGATGTATTTATAATGCGCGACTATTTAGCAATATTCTGTTTCTTTGTTGATTTGAAATTGATTCCTTTGTCTTTTTTTAAACATTGTAATGAATAAATCGCGTTTGACAATCTCGCCAAGTATTATTTATAATGAGAAAATGCAGCTAGCGCGAAATAGCTAAGTAAACAAGAAAAGCATGAAATTTACAAGTCAATCAAACACAGAGAAAAATTCTCTCTCTCGCTCTCTCCCCCCTCCCCTCTTCTTTAAGTTATCAGAAACGAGTTTTAGTAAACTCGAAATTATCAGCAGGAGAAGATTAACGGTAAGAGTTTTAATTATAAGAATGTCAATTTTACGACATTATGATAGAAGCGAAATTAATAACTTGTTATTAACTTCTTCCTCTTCATCTACAGAAAACTTTCGGGAGGTCATTTCAATTATATTATGATAATTGTTAGCCATAACTTCTTCATGAAAGTTTGGCGCCTTCGTTAATTTATGGTAAATGATATTTTGTTGCGTTAGAAGAAAGTTGAATAACCTATCTGGGAAGAAGTAATTTAAATGTCACGGCGTTTTTTTTCTCTAAATTTTTTGTCGTCGTTAATAAATGGAAGGAAACTCGAATGGAACATTTCCCAAAACGTACGTTCGACAATGCGTATTCACTCGATACAATTGAATTTATTATCTATTGTCGAGTCGATTTTTTTTTGTATTATGGACAAACATTGAAAAAGTAATCTTTGATCGCGTAGAACTTTGTGAGCGAGGGTATACGTCAGCTACGATTAAAGTTTAGTAATCTGATGGTAGAACACTGTACGTGGGCGAGTATTACATTCCAGAGCGAGCGTTCTTATTGAAAAGCTATAGCGTGATAGTCTGATTGAGCACCTGTCGATGGCAGACTTGGGCCAGTTTTTTTTTTCAATCTACCCAGGCATTCAGTACCTGCCGCTCACCAATCATCAATAAGCGGCGCTTATTTGCATAAATTGCTAATAGGAGTTGCGTGTACAATTAATTCGAACGTTAACGGAGCCATTTCGTCATTTCGACATAACAGTCGAGACATTTACTAATCAAAACGTTAGATTGCTCTGAATATTTGATTATTTGAAACTCATTATTCCCGAGTTTAATAACCTCCGTTAGATGTATTTACATCCCAGGAATCTGAGTATAAATAGTTGAACATTTGAGAATTTTGCGGAACAAAAGGATTTTCTGATGTTGTGTAATTCTACATTAATGTGAAATTAACAAGGGCTAATTTGCCTTGTTTATTTAATTATTTAATTAGTAAGAAAATCAATGCGGGGAGGTTGTATCTATTATTATTTATAATAAAATAATTAATTTTCCGAAAGATGCGAAAGATCAATGCGCTTTTATTATGCGCATTGAATATAATCAATTATACAATTACTGATTTATATATAAATAACTGGATAATTATGTTATTATAACATCAAAATGTAAATTGATACACAATTAAGGTACAGAAGTTGCATTTGGTTACAGAAATATGAGATATTGATTTTCGGCGTTTCCAGGTACAACGAATCCTGTGAAATTTATCAAATTTCGCCCGTTAATTTTCACGCAGATAATCGGTTTACTTCGCTGAATAGTTTCGAAATTGTCTTACACTGTTTCGTTTCGATAGAAATGCGTATCCTATTAAAACAAAACGTTATGGTCTTTTCTGCTTCTTACACGCGGCGCGTTGACCTTCCAATTTATTTTAAGTCGTCTTATTTTGTCTCGCGCGTTACATAACATTACTTACTCATTTTTGTACTAAAGAAAAAGAGTATTAGCAAAATAGCAACTATTTTTCTGTGTTCAATTTGCACCAATTTACAATACTTTGATTTGCATCTATTTTTAGAATTTTACCATTTTACTGTAGAGCTCCAAGAAGATAAGTCGAGATGCACTTTCAAGAGATTCTTGTCACTCCGCGCGAATCCATCGCAGAGCAGCAAGCCCTTTGACGGTTTTTGAGGTCGTACTCTTATCTTTCCCTCATGTAATCTCTTTTCTTTTTGCATCTTATTGCCCTTTGAATTCTTACGTAACCAATTAAATATCACGTTCTCGAAAGAAATATGTGGTAAGAAAATATGTGAAAATATGATTACGTTGAAAATGTTGGAGAATGTATTTTATTCCTCAAGACTGCGTGCTAAAAATGTATCTTCCGTGGAAATCAGTGTGCTAACTTATCATTACACGAATCTTGAGGAAAGAAAAGTAATGAATTGAGTGGCTGAGTTGAGTTGAGAAGAAAAAGTTTATTCGGTGTATCTCTTTTACACTTTTTTTTTGTCGAGAGCAACATAAGTTAGTTTACAGAAAATGAAATGGTTAATTACGAACGGCAGTCATAGCTCATTGGATTTAATTTCTCATGGCGTTACGATTGTCATAATTTTCAATCTATGTAGGACAGTTTCCTATAAAGCTCTTTTGATTTTCATTTTCTTTTTACATAGTTAATTATAAACTAATCAGGCGGATGAACCCGGGAAAGATTTAAACGAGGAAAGTGGATGGAAATGGTCGATCGTATGAATATTTCAGTGCAAAGCTCTCCGCTCGCTGTTTCCTTCATTTTTATTAAATAAGATCTGGTCGCTGTACAGCTTGTACCGCGTATTGCGATTGATAGATACAAAAGTAGATGTTTATTTGAGAATATCGGTGACAGCTAATTAATATTACGAATAATATTATAATTTACTTTTGGTCTAATGGTTATTGCGACTTTTGGCTCGACGTGAGCGCCACTGCGAAACTTTCTTATCAGCTACCGTAATGTCGAACGCGAGGCCGTGCGTTGTTTTATTTCCGTGCAAGATCGAAGACGGATCTAATAACGGGAGTCGGTACACGGTCCTTTCGCATCATCCGCGCACGCACACGTTCTGCCGCCCTGACCGTCCGGTAGACAAAGCTGATTCTTGTTGCACCTTCCGTTGTCGTACTGGCACACATTTGTCACTGCAAACAAGCGATCGTGAATTATGGAGTTTCCGACGATATTAGATTCTTGTCTCTAGCGAGTTTCTTTCTGTAGAAGAGTTGGGAGATTTTCTGAATTCTCGTTAATTCAGGCTTCGGCGAGACGTGACGAAGGCGCGGTAAATTTTGCAATTATATATATATATATTTCCTAGAAATATATAATTTTGAGAAATAGATCTCTACGGAGATGAAAAATTTACCTCTGGGGCATGACTCGGGAACGACCACGATACCGTATAGTTTCCCACTTCCACCGGGCGGGATAGACAATGGTGTGCGTCTTTCGCCATTAGTCTTCATGCCGACTTCGATCTTGTGTCTGCAATGGAAAGGGCGTAATATAAAAACTTTTACATTTTATGGCATTCTGCGGATTGTCTGCACGCGCGAGTGAATATTTTAGTCTCTTACGTTTTCCAGTCGGTCCAGTAATAATGATTGTGAGAAATTGCCAGGCCAAACGGATAGGTAAGTTCATTTGCGACGACGGTGACTTTCTTGCTATCTATTTCAATGCAACCTGAGAACAAGAGATTATTTGGTATTGGAGCGGCAAGTTGACGCGGTAATAAAACATATCGCGCCGTCGGACATTTTCCTGTTAAGATTAATGGATGCTATTTCGACGCGCTCACGTGATTAAAATCTATATTTACTTATCGAGAACGTTCCAGCGTCGGCCCAGCACAGCTCATCCGTCGCCCAATCGATAGTTAATGAATTTGGCAGCTTAACGTAATCACCCTGAAGGAAGATTGCTCGATCTGTTCCATCTTCGTTAGCCCACTCCAGTTTAGGGGAGGCTCGATTCCAGTCAGACCAAAATATTTTTCTTAAATAAAAAGAAATACTTGGTTGCGAAATTCAAATAGTATAAGATTACGTCAACGATATATAATTCAACGATTCGAATAGATGTTTCAATGATATGTGATATCACTCGTAATATTACAAGATTGAAATTACATTGCCGTTTTTTTGTTACTTTTATTAATTAGCTTTTTTCTATAGTACGGCGTGTAAATAATTCGCGGTTAGAAGGAACTGCTTTCACTTTAGTCGTACAGGTAGAATGTACGAGCGGTCTTATGAGTTGTGAGATCGGGGAAGGTCTTGAAGCACGCGGAACTGAGAAGTCCCGCAAATAGATTTCGTACGCCCTTATCTATTCTTACCCCCGATATGGATGAACAGCTATTCCCCTCGGATTGACCAGTCCATCGGAAACGAGGACTTTGCGTTTCTTTGTCACTAGACTGGCAACCTCGACGGTCGTCTTGCCTGAGTCGGTCCAGAAGATGTTCCTCGAGACCCAATCGACCGACAGTCCCTCGGGACTGCTAACTTTCGGAATAAATGTCTCTGCCATCGATCCGTTATAGGATAGTTGAACTATTTTGTTGCCTGTTGAGATCGATCGCGATGTTATCTTACAGAGGTATCTTATTCCTAGACCGTAATTACTTTCTCGTCATACTAGCAATCGAGAGACGCGTTTGTAATAAATTAAATTAAACTTTAATTCGCTAGAGAGTGTCTCTCTCCTAGGATTTTACGTTTCTCGCTCAATATTTTTTATGTATTATTTTGTGAAACGTAATTCTACGTTTTAATATATTTCTCTGCGAAAATTTAAATTAGGTCTACGAGTCAAAAACGT